CGGAAGTACTTGTGCCCTGTGAACAGTGGATCAAACACTGGGATGACAAGGGATGGGCTAGAGAGGGCAGGGGATCAGGAGAGAGTGACATCAAGAGTGTGAGGGAGAGAGAGCTCGGGATAGAGAATTTTAAAAATTCACTCTTGTCTAGTTTCTGGAGGAAGGCAGCACTCGAGGGGACCTTGTTGAGCCATCCTTGTTTAATAATCTCATTCTACTGAAATCATGACAAGGTCAAAAATAATAATCCATTTGTGACAATGTCCAGGGATGACTCCATCCACCATCACAGGGGCTTTAACTGGCTGATTCCCAGGGATATTGACTTCCGATTTATAAGAGCAGCCATCATAGCCTGGTTTCTGAGATTCCACTTATCCCAAGGGGAACATCAGCTCCCCTTTTCTTTTCAATTCCCAAATAAATATATGTGTTAGGGGTGCCTCTATTTCTGTTTCTGTGGTTTTGTTGTTGTTGTTCACAGTGGTGGTGGTGGTCGTGTCAGTGTATATTCTTGCTGGCAACAGGATGCTAGCTCTGTACCTTGCTAGGAAACAGAATAGCCCGCCTGTACTATCTTTCTTTCTCTTTCTTTCCACCGTGAGAAGTGGAGGGCTGATTTTAATGGATTGATTTTAATGGATTTTGAAGTCTGGAAAAGTGCCGAAATTGCTGAGGTTACCAGTTTTCCAGGTTCTTTTTTTCAATTTCATTCTCCTTAGTCAGACATAGAGTGTGCTCATTGGGGCACCTAGTGTGGTCACCCCAGACAAGAAGAGGTTGCCCTCTGCCCCTAACCAAACAGGCAGCATGAACACAGCCTCAGCTGGCAAGAGCACCTATTATTTGGTTGGGTGAGAGCATTTTGCTTCGGCCTGTCCCTTCATTTCCTAGTGGCACACTTTCTCTGATCTCTGAAAGGAGAAAACCAGCTGACAACAATGATACCAGTTCTGCTTTCTGGAATCAAAATGACCCCACTTTAAAGAATAATTTTACTTGGTGATTTTTTTTTTCTTTTGTTGCATGTGGGTTTGTTCAGGGACGATGTGCCCTCGGAACTTCATGCTGCAAACCTATCTTTTCCTCCTGAATCCTCCCCTCTTGGGCCATGCCTGCCCTGAGAAGAGTGTGATAAGGTTTTTGAGGCCATGAGTCTCCCTGGGAAGCCTTTGCAGAAAGGACAGTGTTCCAGGCACTGCAAGGGGACTCTTGGCTATGTTTTAGCTCTGTTACTGGCCTCTGTCTTCACTCCTCCCCTCTCCCAACATATATTCACATTTCTTTCTGCCCTTTCTTTCCAACTTACCCAACTTGTCTTTGTGATTTCAGAAAAATGCCACTAGATCTCCCAGTATGAAGGATTAGCACAGATTATGGGGAACAGTGTTAATTATCGGTGGAAGGGGGGCTGTCGCGTCGCTCCAATGTGCTCCTGATTTCCCCTGGGCCTTTCTGCCTGGTAATAAGCCTTCTTTAATCTGGCAGGCCCCTTGGTGAAATCAGCACCACGGACAGTGATATTGATTGCTTCTGAGAAACCATCACAGCTGCTCAACCAAATTACCTTTGATATGTGACCTTTAATGTAATTACTGCAACATCTAAGTATTTCTATAAATTATTAAAGAACTAATACACTCCATCATTTAGCTATTCTATTATATGTAAAATAAACAACCACAAGTTAATGTTAGATCCTGAACAATCCACACTCGCTACTGAAATTCTCCCAGTTCCCAGCCTCCCTCCTTCAAAATCCTAATCCTCCCCCTCCCACCTTCTCTCTTTCTGTTTCCCCATCTGATTCCGGCTTTTAGCCATCATGAAACTCCCCAGCAATCTCTCTCAAGCTGATGAAGGGCCTCCCATAACAATGTGGTATTTTCTATTCCATTTGGGTGGCTCTAAAATATCTATCACAATCTCCCCCAAAACAAAGTACCATAAACACTTTATTAATCAGCACAAACCTTTCTCAGAAGCCTTTGATTATCTTACAATATGGCTTTATGCTTCACACATAACATGGGGCGATGTGGAGCATATTTCTGCCATCTTACAGAGGGCACCCGGAAAGTAATTACTATAATATATGTGGATGTAGTCTCGCCACTAAAAAACCAACTGGGGAATGGCCACCCTGCCAGAGCTAGGCTTCACACAAAATCTGTGCGGTGCTCAATTTCCATATATTTGCATCTGCGGGTATGTTATTAAGATGACTCAGCCCCGTGCTTTGCAATCACAAATACCAAAATACAATACAAAGGCTGTCTTAATGGAAGGAAGGCCCTGTGTAATTCAGTACTCCCCACCCCTAAACGGGTAAAGAAAGATCTTTGATGTAAAAGAAAAGAAGGCTGCCCCCACCCGGGCTTGCATTTTCTCTCCGACTACCTGGTTAACCTTTCCTGCTGCGGGGCAGAAATGGAAACGTGTGTTTACATACAGTTGGCTTGGTAAGAATGTAAACATGCATGTGTGAGCATGGGTGTGCATACATATAGGACACACGTGCTTCCCTGCAGTGCCCATTGTATACGCTTAAACACTGTATATTTATAAATTCTTTAAATTATGCCCACAAACACACATCTTTCCATTTATCTTTAGATACTCAGCAGCCATATATCTCTACCCCCTGCCCCCACCGCCCCATCTCTCTGAACCCACAGGAGAGACCGCGCAGACCCTTGACCCGACGAACACTTCTTATTTTATGGTGATGAACTAGCCTCGATAATAGCCATGGCTGATATCACACCCAGTTAGGGGGGCCATAAATAATTCTCTTCTCCCCCGCACAGAAGCTATAAACCAGGGCTGAGGCGCGATAGTTTATCAAAGACGAGGGCTGGCTCCTTAAATAAACCGCGGTGATCTCACTCGCGGCGCCGAGCTCAGGCCAGGAGGCGCCTCCTCCCACCCGGACCCCGCTCGGGAGCAGCCGGGGTGGCCTGCATGGGCGCACTCCTCACCGCACACGCGGCCCGGCGCGGCCGGCGGAGGCTGCCGGGGCTCCCCGGCCCCGGGACCTACCGCGCCCCCGCCCCCGGCTGCCCGCGCGGGCGGTGCTCGCGGGCGCTGCGCCCCGGCTCCTGGCCCCGGCCGGGCGGCCCCCGCCCCGGACTCCGTCGGGCCTGGACGGCAGCGGACCACGCGCCCTCCACCCGCCGGCGCCTCGCGGCCGTGCGGGACGAGCAGGGCCGGCGCAGGAGTTGCCGTGCAGAGGCGGGCGGCGGGCCCCGGCCTCCATCTCCCAGCCTCCCCGGCCTCCCGCCGTCGCCCCCTGTCGGCGCGCCGGTCCCTCGCGCCGCGGCGGGCGCCACTTACCCCGGGCAGAGTCTTCTGCTCGTGCAGCGCACTCTGGGCCTTCAGCGCTGACTCACGCTCGCAGTAGGTGAGGAAAGCGCAGCCTGGGGAGGGAAGCAAGCGCGAAGAAGGGTCAGTGGGGCGCCCCAGGCCCGTCTACGCGCCCTGCAGCTCGCCCTCCAGGCTTCCTCCTCCTCCCTGCGCTGGGTACCTCTCCCCACCTCTCCTCTCCTGTGCTCTCCACTCGTAGCTTCGCTCCCTCTCCGTGTTCCCGTCTGTCTGCCTCTCGTCCCTCCCTTTGCATTTTTATTTTGCTCTCTCTGAGGAGTCTCCCCACCCTGCATCTTTCCCCCACCACGCCCCCTCTCCCCACGGGTCTGCCCTTGTTCCCACGCCCTGGTGCCTCAGGCCTCTCTGGCTCACCCTCGGAGTGCTATTTATAGCTGTTTCACCGACAGACCCTACACTTACCAGGAGGGGCAGCTTCCACCTCTCAACCCGGCACATCTGGCCACACTTGACCATGAACTCTTATTCTGTCCTCTTAGGAGTGCTAGGGGCTGCTCCATCAAGGACCCTCAGGCCTTCCAAATAAAGTTCCATCTGTAAGGAGGACCCCAGGCCAGGCTGTCCTGCGTTCCCTGTGTTTCCTGCCCCAATTCCTGCTTTTGCATCTGCAGTGAGTGATGGTCTTCACAACCCTCCTAGTCAGAGGACTTCTTGGGTATATCCAGACCACTGAGGCACAGCATTGGTCCCAGGCTCACCTTTGCTTGGCCTTTAATTCCATGGGTGACCCTGGCAAATCCTATGCCCTGTCTGACCTCAGTTTCCCCATCTGTGAACGGAGAGGGCTCAGTTTAGCTCTCCCACTGAGTGACTCTACTGGGGCCTTACCCTTACCTCCTTACCAGGGAATCCAGATTTGACAGAATAATGTACTGAAGGGATGACTTTCCATCCTGCCCTTCAGGCGTTGTGACCAGGCAGACATTGTTTAGTGTTCTTGGGGTTTCCTCAAACTGCCCAGTGGTGGGGCCTCTTCTCCCACATGCACATGTGTCTGAGGGTCACATGGGAGGGCTGCAAGGGTTGAAACCGTGGTGCAAGTGGAAAAGCCCACTATGGCCAAAGCAGGTTTGAGTTCTCTGGGAACAGTGGCCCAGAGAAGGTGCCCTGTAGGATGGCCATCCTCTCTTGGTACTGTCTCTTTCTCCCGTTATCTTATCTGACACCCCCAATAATCAGTGCTCCCCTCCGACTCCCATTCTTCCTCTCTTCTCCATCCTCACCTGGACTCTGGTGGTATGCCTTCTCTTTCCATTTCTACGCCTCCCAACCTAGTCCATCTTTCAGGAATCTGGTCAAGTTCTACCTACTCCAGGCAGCCCTCCTTGACTGGTCAGGTGCATCCCCAGCCCACTGCCACAGCCAGCCGTGAGGAAGATCTTACGGCCATTTATTTCCTAAGGGCCAGGCTCTGTGCCAGGCCCTGTAGTCCAGGACACCCTCTCACGAGGCCCATAGGCTGGTGGTGCCAGTCTGGAGCCTGCGCCAGCCCTTGTCACCAGGTTTTTTTCCTATTGTCGGGCACAGAGTGCTCCCAGTGTCCTCTGCAGTTTCCAGATCTTCTACCATGCAGCTTGTGCCCAATGCACACCCCCTTCCTCCTCTTCCAATGTAAAAATTGGTTCTGTCTACCTTCCCTTCCTGGCTTCAGAAAGGAGATGTATTTGTGAAGGGGACACAGAAATGGAAGAAGGAAGCAGGGAGAGAAGCCTGGGAGATTGAAACTCTGCCTTCTGCACACCCAGCTCCTGCCCCACGCTGGGAGGAGCTGCCAAGCAGCCTCTCTTCCCCTCCATCACAGCCCTCCCGCTGTCCAGACCCCAGATCATCCCTCTCCCTCCCCCTTTCCTCCTCCCTCCTGGTCACTGGCAGACGGTTATTGATGGAGACACCCAGGGAATGGAATGAATAACGGTCAGAGCCCCCGTGACGTAGTCCCTCGTGCTGCTGCCTGCCTTTCTTGGGGGTGTCTTTCCTCCTGTCCCTTTGTTGGCCTTGTCCTCTGACTGCAACCAGGAGGTGGCCACTGCCTTGCCTGCAGGCAGGCAAGCCAACTTGGGACAAGGTCAGGGGCAGGTTTGGAGGGGAGAAGGGAGGGGTAGGAAGAAGAGGAAGAGGAGAAGAAAGTGATCATATTGTTTCCATGGCCCAGGATAACAAGGAAAAGATTCCAGAGGAAAAAGAATCTGTTGAATTTGTCCAGCTTCCGGGAATTTCTGCCACTGTTTTTGAGAGAGGGCGTGACTCCATTGTGAACCAGAATCTTTCAGCATCCCCCAGACCCTGTGTAGCCTCCCCTGCCATCTCTACCCCCTGGATTTACCTCCTTGCTGTCTTCCCCCTGCCCACTCACTACCTTCCCCACTTCTCAGCCCCACCAGGTACACTCTTCCTTAGGTCTTTGCACTGGTCATTCCCCCTGCCCAGAACAGACACCCCCCCCCCATTGGCACAGCTTGCTCCTTTAATTCCCTCACCTCTCTGTTCAAATGTGACCTCAGAGACACCTCTTTTGGCCACCTCATTCAGCTGCTCCCACCCAACACTTCCATACTCTCTGACTCCTTGTCCTGTCTCATATTCCATTTGGCTCCTGTCACCCACGACATGTCAATGTGTATTTGCTTATTGATTGGCAGTCTCCTCATGCTCAGAGGAGGTCAGAACCTGCTTTGGTTCTGTCCTGCTTGGTTCTTGGTGCCCTGAGCAGGGGTGGAGCTCTGTGTGTAGAGGGGCAATAGGTAGAGAAGGGACACAGAAATGGTGCTCACAGGCTGCTGAGAGCTGACCAAGGCCCTGTGGACACTGAGATGGTTGATAAGTGGGTCCCTGCTGGGAGGGCTCTTCTGCCAAAGACTTCCTGTTCAGCCTAACAGAGTACTTTGGTCCCGAGTCATCCCCTGCAAAGGTGGTTGCCCAGCTGTGCCCAGGAGAGCCCCTCACTAGTCTGGGGTCACTTCCCAATTCACCTCTTTGAACCCTGGTTTTCTCATCCATACAATGGGGACAACACTATTGACCTCAGAAGTTAGTGGGGAGACCTACTTGCCAGCAAATATGAACAACCTCGGCAGAGTCTTTGAGCTGCAGAGCACAGGGTGGATACCAGTTGGCTCTCAGGAAGCTAGGGAGGAGAGGGCCCCTTGCTTCCCTCCCTCCTCTGCACCTCTGTGAGGGACCAGCTGCACACAGAAGCTGACCAGGGCCATTCCACCCTGTCCCTCTCAAACCATCTCTTCTTCCAGTCTGACAGTCCCCCACGAGAGATTTGTCCTCTCACTTAAGCTCTTGAAGAAAGACAAATGAGGATAAGCAGTTATTAACACGGACTCCCTGGGGGAAAGACAGCTTAGGGGGTACTTCTGGAGGAGAGCTTGCCGTCATGGGGTGCTGTGGACGATAGTGGGCCTAGAGTGGAGGCTAAAGTGGAGCTCAGAAGAATCAACCACTGGACACTCACTGCTGACTCCTTGGAGGGAATGGGGGGCACACAGAACCCCTACCCAGAACAGCTGGCTCTGAGCTCACACCTGCTCCTCATAGCCTTGAGGTGGGGCTTCGGGTGGGTCAGCCTCAGCTTGGCAGCCACGAAATCTGCCAGACTCACTCTCCTGTGATGTGCAGAGGTGTCCCCAGAGACATCCCTGGTGGGGTCCTTTGGGAACTCACAGTGGAGGTAGGAAATGGGATTCTCTGAGGGAGCAGCTGCATAACAACACAGGACCATGTGGAAGAGAGGCTAGCACCAGGCTGTGAACTTGGAGGTTCCAGGAGGTTTTTAAAGTGAGCATTATTGTTCCTGGGGCTGAGGCTGGTGGCACGGTGTCTTTAGACCTAGTGATTCCCTCCCAAATACTACACATACACTGTATTTGGGCTCACAGAGGAGAGAACAAGAATCTACGGCAGCTGTTTGAAATAGCAAAAAGTTGAAAACCACCTAAATGCCCCTCAGGGCAGGAATGTTTTTATCTTCAAACCGTGAATACTCTACAGCAGTTAAAAAGATGAAATGATCCTCAATGTACCAACACACAAAGCCACATTGTTAGATGGGAAAAACAGGTTGTACAATAACAGACAACACTCTACAAGGGACACATCCCCAACTTGTTCCATGTGTCTGCGCGCAAAGGACAAAGTCTAGAAATCAGGCCGAGCTGAGAACAGGGAGTACAGGTTGGGAGTTGGGGAGGTGTCCCCAGGACTTTCACTTTTTGTTGTTTTGTTCAACACATTTAGACCCAGAATATATTTGTGTATAACTCATATAATTTACCCCAAACATTAATCTTTGCCCAAAGAAGATGGAATAAAAAGGAAGGGGTGAGAATGAATGAGCCTGACAGGGTACAGGACCCACAGCCTGTTTTGAGGAGACAAAGAAAGGTCACTGGGCATCAGCCTCTTTGCAAACCCTTCAGGAGGGAAATTATCCTTGATGGGGTGGCTGTGCCCCTGCCTCAGAGCTTCCTCCAAGCCACTGGAGCTGACTGCTGCTCTGGGAGGTGGGCAGTTGCTCTATACCCCGAGGACTGTAAATGTTCTGGACCTTTGGTCTTGAGTTCTGGGGGTGGGTGCTTGCGGGACAAAATCATGATGAAGCGGGCCCCTCCCTGTTTTCACCTCCTACTCTCCTGGGGCCCTCCCAGCTGTATGCCCCCGAAGTCAGAACCTGAGGTGGACTGCAGGGTTCTCCGGGTGAGTTAGGTCCTGTCCCTGAGCTCCCACCTCGCCTGTCTTTATCGTGGCTATTTATCCCAACAACAGCTCATCCCCTGAGTCTCCACCATTCAAGGATCAGCACCTTCCTGACCGCTGGGAGGAAGCGGGACCAAACTGCAGCCTCTTGGGGGAGGAATGGGCTTTGGCAATCCTCGGAGGTGGGATGGGGCGGAGAGGGGACAAAGCTATGGGATCACCCTAAGCAGCTGATCCCTGGGCTCAGACCCCCTGCAGCACAGGATGGACCCCTGCACCTGCCTGCTCTGACCCCCAGGGATCTGCCTCTCCTCAGGATTCTACTGTGTGCACT